CATTGATCTCAAAAACATTGAACTACAGATACAGAAGCAAGTCACAGAAGAACACATTAAGTATGATTCTATTTATATACTCAGAAACATGCAAACGGTTGTTTAGTGATACATAGAAGTAAAACTAAGGAAAAGCAAGCAAATCATACAATATAAAATTCACACAGGTGTGCTTTTGGAGGTGCAAAGTGTATGAGATCTTGGAGGAACACACAAAGCACTCTTAAGGTAGTGGTAATGTTCTTCTTTAGCAGATGTATTTTACACAGTGTTTATTATTTTTTTAAATTGCATATCTATGGGAGAAGTAATGGTGCGAAAATGGAATTAAGCATGTAGATTTTGTAGGTAGTTCAATTTCTTACTTGTTGTTTTGAATAGTGAGTAGAAAAAATAAAAAGTTTTTTCCCTACTCTCACCTCCATGATAATCAACACAGAAGACTAATGTGACCAACCAAGCAACTGGTTCTGCAACTGACACCAACTGGGTATCCTCCAAAACACTGCGTACACTAGTTTATTATAAAGGATGTCACAAAGGATACAGATGAAGAGATAATGTATAGGATATGGAGGATGAGGTAGGGAGCTTCCATGCCCTCTCTGGGCACACCACCCTCCAGGAACTTGCGTATGTTCAGCTATCTGGAAGCTCTCCAAACTCTGTCCTTTTGAGCTTTGTGGAGGCTTCATTACTACGTGGGCATGATTGATTAAACCACTGGCCATTGGTGATCAACTTAACCTTCATTCCTCTCCTCTCCTTGGAAGTTGGAGGGTGGGGCTGGAAGTTCTAACTGTCTAATCCTGCCTTGGTGCTTCCTGTGAGCAGCCTTCATCCTGAAGCTACCTAAGGGCTGCCTGCCATCAACTCATTAGCATACAAAAAGACATTAATTTGGAAATTTTAAGGAATTTAGGAGTTACGTGCCTGAAAACAAGGTCCAAGACCAAATAGGTATTTCACAATCTCACAAATGGATAATGCATGTACACACATATGAATGTTAAAATCAGCTTTTCTAGTTCCCTGTTAAAATAATTCTGTTATTTTACTGGGATCATGTTAAGCTTCTAGATTATTTATAAAGAATTAACAACTTTATACAAGTATGGGCTTTTCCATTTATTCTGGTCATTCTGTATCTCAGTAGTATTTTTAAATTTTTCTTCATGCATATTATTATGTACATTTCTTGTTTTGCATGTATGTATGTGTATATATACACACATATATGTGTACATATGTATACAAGTAGTCCTCAGTTTGAACAATAGCATGGGGCAGTAAAAATGACCAGTGACCATGCAAGCTGGAACCATGCAAAGTGATCTTAATAATAAATGGGGAAAATTACAATTGTTCCATCAACTTTAAATTTTTATCTTAAAACATCAAAACCTCCCTTACTGTCAGTTATAAATATATAGGGAAATGAAAACTAGGAAAAGTAGTATTTATTTAGAACTCTATGTTTCTGAGTCAGTTTTCTGTTGCCATAAAAGAATATCTAAGATTGGGTAATTTATAAGAAAAGACTTCTTTTTAGCTGAAGTTCTACAGGATAAGTTCAAGGGCATGGCCCTGGCTTTTGATGAGGGCTTTTATGATTTGTCACAACAAGGCAAAGGTGAGAAAGGACGAGGACACGTGAGGAGAAAAACTGAGGGGCGTCCTGGCTTTATAACAACCCACTCTCTCGGGCACTGATCCATGCCCATGAGAACCAGTCCATTCTCAGAAGAGCAAGAACTCATTACGGCGAGAACAGCACCACGCCACATGCTTCCCGCTGGGCCCCACCTCCCAATATTGGGGGTCAAATTTCAGCCTGAATTTTGATGGAGATAAACCATATCCAAACCATAGCACTGTGTCTTAGTCTCTTCAGACTGCTGTAACAAAATACCTTAGACCAGGTAATTTATAAACTATGTAAGTTTATTGCTCACAGTTCTGGAGACCAGGAAGTCCAAGATCAAGGTACCAGCTGATCTGGTGTCTGGTGAGGGTTTGCTCTGCTTCAAAGATGGTGTCCTCTTGCAGCAGCATCCTCACACAGTGGCAGAGGTGCTCCCTCAGTCCTTTCATGAGGGCACAATTTCGTTCACAGGTGTTCCACCCTCAAGACGTAGTCACCTTCCAAAGGTCCCACCTCTTAATACCATCAGCTTGGGAGTTAGGTTTCAACATACGAATTTCAGGGGCTTGCCCACATGTATTCAGATCATAGCACACTGTAATTAAAAACATAGAAACTTTGAGAATTAAAGGTTTTTTTTAATCTCTTTGTAAGAAACTTGTCAAGAGTAGTTTGAACACTACCTGCCTTCTCATTGTGTCCCTTATGATGTGGAGTGAGCATCCTTTCTATGCTGTGGCAGATTGTGAGTTCTAAGCATGGGTCAGCGTTCAGTATTTTATCCTTTGCCCTTTTGGTATCATGAAATATTTCTAAGAGTTCCTTTAATGTGGAATTTTTGGCCAGCATGACTCCCTTTGGGAACTGCTGGCCTCATCTGTGTCATTGAATTCACCTTCACCAAGATCCTCTGGCTTCACATACAGAGTTTCTTCAGTGGCAGCATTCCTGTGGTCAGCTGTGTGCTCCGTAACTTATTTACGTTTGTGTCTAAATGTGCTTCCAGCATTATCACTTTTTGGTTTTTTGCCACATTTCTATTTTGTTGGCCAGTTCTCCTCTTTTGATTATCCATTTTTGTAAAGTGTCACGTGGGTTTCTCCCTGGGAGACAAGGAGATAACACAACTGCATGCTTTGCCGTCTGTGAGTGAACTGAATGGAAGCACAATGACCGATCACAGACTTCGAAAGGAGGGACGTCACTGGCCACAATGCCTCTGTTTACACAGGGGACTGAAGAGCTGCCAGTGAGGCCTGTGCTCTGTGATTACTCACGGTTAGCATACCTATGCCAGTTAGTAACTGAAATTTGAACCGTGCCATTGGGTGACAGTGACGTTTAACTAAGCCATGGTAACAAATTCATGCATATCAGAACCATGCAAAGTGAGGGCTCTCCACACACGAACACACATGGGCTTATTCCTGTGTATTATTTTTTCCATTGCTATTGTTTTTTCCTTCTTCCTAGCATTTTAATATTGTTGTTTTTATATAGGAAAGTTGTTGATCTGTATGGAATGTTAGCTTTATGCCCTAATTGAGTTGTCTTATTATTTGTAACAGTTTTTGCTTTTCTTTTGGCTTGTCAACTTATGTAACTATATAATCTGCAAATAATTTCTCACTCTTTCCTTTATACTTATACCTCTTCTTTCTTTCTCTTGTCTAATTGTACTGACTAGTACCTCCGTAATACAAAATAATAAGGATAGCAAACACTCTCATTTTGTTCTTGGGCTTAATGGAAATGCTTCTAGTGTTTCCTCATTAAGCTTTATATACGAGGTTTGGCGTTGAGATAGATATATTTTATCATGTTGAAGAACTACCTATCTACAGTATTTTGTAGAGAAGTTTTATCAAGAATATATATTGGTGTGGAAGAGAAGGGGGAAGCTACTAAAAAAAAAAAAAAAAAAAAGATCGTACGTTGCGTTTAGTACCTCGGGTTTAGCTGTCGTCAGCTTGGTCTAAGTGCCTCCTGAGTGTGGTGGTAGGAAATACATAGCTGTACCCGTGGAGCATATTTGTTTAAAAAAAAAAAAAAAGGAAGAAGAAGAAGAAGAATTTTTAAAAATCTGACCTTGAATCTAGTGAAACCTCTAGATCAATGATTCTCAACCAAAGGTGTTCTCCCCCTGCGCCAGGACATTTGGCAGTGCCTGGAGACATTAGTGTTTGTCACACCTGGGAGAGAGGCTGCTACTAGCACTTGGTGGGTAGAGGCCAAGGATGCTGCTAGACAACCTAAAATGCCTGAAACAGCCCCTACAACAAAGAATTATCGAGCCCGAAATGTCGAGTGCTGAGGTGGAGAAACCCTTTTCTGGATCTCACTGCCTGTTACAAGAAATGTGAGGGAGACGGGAACAAAATGAACTACGTCATCAGAAAGTCATCGGTGCAGTCCCTACTGTGAGAAATTCTGCAAGCCAATGACCTGGCATCTTCAACATAGAAATGTATGATTAAAAGAGACTTAAGTATATACCAGCCAAATACAATACACGGATCGTGTTTGGATCCTAAGTTGAAAAAGTCATTTCTAAAAAAAAAATCAGGGAAATTTAAGTCGCGAGAATACATGAAACAAGATTGGCAAAATTCCAATAATTATTGACACTCGGTGATACAGACTCATTATACTTTCATTTATAATTTTGTCTTTGTTTAATAATTTTCATAAGTTTTTTAATGGATATTGAATTTTTTAGATTATCTCAGCAACAATGAAAATACGACTTTTCTGATCCTTCAAATGGTGAATCATTAGTAAATTTCCTAATATTGAACTGTCTGTAGTCCTAAAATAAGCATCCCCTAAAAGAATGAGCATATTCTGGTGCACAAAATAGTTTGTGGACTATGTTCTCAATGATTTTATCAAAAGCCTTAGGTGCCTAAAATTCTTATACAAAGATGATTGTCAACTTTTAGAATTACATTAATTCCTTTTTGCTTTCTTAAGAAACAGAGTGATATAAAGTATTAATTTTGTAAGTTTTTCTTTGTGTGTGTGGTTAAATCATTTAAAGATTTTTTATATTACTATATTAGAAATCTTCCCAAATATTGTAATAGCTAAAATAATCTGAGATAATTGTCTTGATTCTTACAAATTCCTTGTAATATAAAATACCTCCTTTCATTGACTGATTGTAGGACATCCATTCTAGGATCTCTCTGAAACGGATACGCCTCTGAGAATCAGTGACATCTTGGACTCAGTGAAATATGATATGTCTGATAAGGCTTCAGAAGAACTTTAATAATTGTTATAGAATCATTATAATATTTTAAATGATACTATGGGACCGTTCTGATTTTACTCTTGCCTGCCTGTCCTTCAGATGCTCTTTGTGTGGGTATGTGTGCAGCCACCCTCCCTCTTTGAAGTCTCACATGTGGAAGCACGCGAGTGACCAAAACTATAACTACGAACAAGTGAACAAGGCTATTAACGACGCGATTTCACAGAGTGGCAGGTATCTGATCTCCCCTCCCTTTACTGCTATATATAAACTAAAGCTAGGATTAAATCTACTAGTCCTACGTTATATCCCACTCAAAGTTTGGTGTGTTTTGTTTTGTTTTGAAGAGTTCTGGGGAAATCGCCTGGAAAGACTTTATTAAACAGCAGTGAAGAGAAAGCCGATCCTATCACTGGAAGTTCAGAAAATTTGGTGTCATCTTCAGAACTGATTTCCCAGGCTCCCAGTGACGTTGTAGGTCCCAACGAGAACGAGAAACTGAGCCCTACAAATAATACCTCATATAGTTTAGAAAAAATCTCCAGTCTTGCCCCTGCTGGTATGGAATATTGCGTTTTACTCTTCTGTTGTTGTATCTGTGGTTTTGAATCAACCAGTAAAGAAAATCTCTTGGAGCACATGAAGGAGCACGAGGGTGAAATTGTAAACATCATCCTAAACAAGGACCACAACACAACGCTAAACACGAATTAATGGAATAATTACTCGAAGAGGAAAACAGAGGATTCCCTTGAACCACAGTTTCACCTTTGCACTGTCAAGTAACTTAACAGACACAGAAGAAATAGTTGGTGTGATGTTTGAGAAATGACAGGTGTGACTTTGGAACCAAACTTGTAATCTAATAAAAGGAATTCCAAATGGATAAGCATTAATGATACTTAAATATTTTGAGTGAGGGGAAGTGGGTTGAAGAGGAAGCAAAGATGTAATCCTGTATTAACTCTCTGTCACCTCTTCTTAGTGTTGAGTGTATTTATTAATTAAAGCTTATTATAGTGTAGAAATGCAAGCAAAAGAGTGAAGAAAGGGATTTTCAGGATCTGTTCTAAAACTTGTTATAAAAGTGTCACAGTCTTAAGCAGAGCTTAGTTTTCTTCTCAGTTTGACATACCAGCTCTAGAATGACAGGCCTCCAGTGAGAAATGGGAGGCAGCTCTTGTTTTTTTGGTTTTTTGGGTTTTGGTTTTGGTTTTGGTGTCACCAACAGAGTCCAGAAGGAAACAGATAATTAGAGGGCTTTGAACTTACATCCCTAAATTGATAGGAATTAATGATATATTCAATCTAAGTTATGTTCCTTTCCTCCTTAGAAAAGAAGAAAGACCTGTCAATGCAAATCTGTGTTGTAAGCAGGCATTTAAGAAGTAAATTATTGTCTTAAATTTACAGTGAATTTCTTGTGCTCAAAGGAGGAAATAGGTGAATTCCCATCAGACTCAAACCAAAGCTCAAGTCCATAGAAATGGTAACCGGTTGAGCTCAGTGCACTTCTCAGAGGTTCTTTTCAGAGTGTGTGTCAGGACGTGGCACACTTTCTCCATAGTTACACAGGCCTTCTAAGCTCTCTGCTAAATGAGACCATGCTCATTATGTGAAAATGTCTGTTAAAACAGCAAAGTATGAAAATTTGCATTTGGTCATCAGGCCTTGAAAATAGTTTGAACTATTTCCAAAAATCACTTGTAGGATGGAGGGGTGAAGCTCAGAAGCTCCTTAAAAAGAGTACTGCTATTGAAATTTTCCTTCCTGGAGTTTTTTAATGTAGTTGTATTTAGCAGAAGAGGAATAACCAAATGTGACTGGAATATAGTAAAAATTCAGGTTGTTTATAAAAATCTTAATAACAGCATTTGCCAAGTCCATAGGACTTCCATCTAGGAAATTCCATTTTGTTAGAGTGTGATAGCACATAGGGCAAACCAACTATAAAAGTGCTTTTCCATTAAAACTTGCCACCAAATAGATGTGATCTCCTTATTACTTACACATTTTGTATTATAATTATTTCAAAGAGTGAAGAAAATGGTGTTTTTGGTTTTTTAGTGCTGATCACTTACGCATTGTTTTAAGTAAATTCTGCCTACAAGTCAAAAGGCCAGTGCACTATTTGGTGCACCATCTTCACGGTGCTATTTCTGAATATCCGAATGTTCTGAATATTGATTTCTAACAGCTAGAATTGAGGCTGTGACTCTTATAAACTTAGACCATCCAAAAGTTTTTGAATGGGATACTGTAGGCACGTTTTAGGAAGGAATTCTGTTCCCAAAGTCCTGGCGTGAATTAAATGAATGAGTATTTTTAAAGTTATTACCATTAGGAACTGTTTAAGTGGGGCCAGGCATTTTGAGACATTGTCTGATTTGTTTTTTTAATCTCATTTGATGATGATATTTAAACAAACGTAATTTTACAGCTTTTTTATTTAGTTAGCTTTAATTTATTTATGAAAGTTAATCCATTTCTGATATGTCATTTTTAAAAAGATAAAATGACTTTATAGATACTAAATTATATTCTCCAAATCCACTGAATGTGGACTTATATTCATTTTCTCCTATTTTCAGAATTGAAATATTTGTATTTCAAATTCAAATAAAATATTTTAAATAGTTTCACTATTATCACTCATTGTTGCCACTCATAAGTCAGTTTTTTCATTGCTGGTAACTATGACTCAGTGTTCCTTTATAAAAATCTGTTATTCTGAAAATTAACAACCTTAGAATTTTGTTCTATAAATTTTCCTTGGCTTTGATTTTGTGTAATATTTGGAAAATACTAATAACCAAAAAAATCCCCAAAATTTCAAGTGTGAATTTTTAAATTACCTGTCTTCATTTCCTTAAACCACTTCCATTGATTGGTTTCTTAAATTTTCCATTTGGAATCATGGATTTAAAAGTTCCCCAGCTTATGGGGAAAAATTAATCCAAAAGTTCAAAGCCTCTTCTTTCATCTGATTCTGTCCTTAGAATGTCTTTAAAAGCTCTCCCATGGCCTGTCGGAGGAAGCATATATCTGAACGCTTAAAATTCTAAGATTTGATAGCGAGAATAGTTTTTAAAGGAAGCTTACTGGATGTGGCAAAGGTGGGAAGGGGGAAGATGATGCATTCTGATCATTATAAATAATACTTTTCAGGGCTCTATCATTTTCTCCCTTTCTCTGATAATCTAGAATATGATGGTGTCCTCAATGTTCCAAAAATACCATGCTAATATTCCATTTCATCTGTAGACAGAGTTCTGTGGCCAGGCAGCGCAACGTAGTGACGCTGACTGAAGCCTTTGTCGTAGGGCTCTCATCCTGTTCAAGGTAGCTGTTGGTGGCTTCGTAATTATCTTCTCTGTTCTCACAAAGCAAATGGTGGGCATCCGTGTTTACATTGTATCTTCCCGCAGTGTACTTGCCTTGACAGAGACAAGCAGGCTTCTCTATTGAGACTTATTATATTTTTAGTTTTCATAGACACTTATTTAATCTTTTTTATTGTACAGCAAGGTGCTCTAAGTAATATCTGATAAAATATATTTAATAGAAATTTGAGTTTGATATTCATGGACATGAATACACGTATTTTTTTAAGAAATAAGTATTGTGTAACACTATGGCATTGCTTCTATAGCCAAAGTATAAAAAATTTCTGGAACACTGACATGTAAAGACTACAGTTAATTCTGACACTGTATCTTATTAAAATAGGATGATTTGCATTTTGTAAAATTATCCTGCACATTGAGCTGCATGCCTTAAAGCTGAAACTCTAGGATTGTGTTCATGGTAGAACAGTTCATCTGTTCAGAACAGTGAAGCAAGATGTATAGCGCTTCTTTAACTACCTTTGGAAATACTGTACAATGTTAGAATAATTTATTTTGCTTTACAGGAGTTTGTCATGTATTGACTTTAATATTGTATTTTGGTAATAAATTTTTTGTTAAAAAAACGTGCCTCTAAGTTTTATTAACAAGTTATATCCAGTCTTATCTTAGACATGTTGACTTTATTACTTAGAAAGTTGTATTTAAATCATTAAAAGCTTCCCAAGGGTTAAAAGTAAGGCTCGTGATTACTCTTTGGTAACTTGTTAAACTATTGCTGACTACCATATAACTGTGTTTCACAAAGAGAACTGAAAAAACATTTAGCTTTTTAAATCATTTTAAAAATTCAATCTAATTTTCAAGATTTTTTTCCCTCGCTACACAGATCTTCATTTTGTCTTCCAAATCACACGCTTATAAGCTTTCAATTCTGATGCAAAGTGCTACAGACTATTTCTGCTAATGACGATTAGCATTGTTTAGTGAAGGCCAAAGATGACAATACTCTGTTCACACCTGGATCATTCTGTGGCCTGTGTCAGATATCTTTTGACATCAGATTTTTTGCATTGGCAAACGAAGCTGACGTCATCTGACTGTATCATTTATCTGGTTATCAATTTGTGCCCTAGAATCCTGAGCCACCTCAGTTTCAAGTGACTGAGGCCAATATTTCTTCCCAATAGCTATAATCTCTTGTCCTGTGCTCCCCAGGGCAACATAATCATATCCTATGTCTTTCAAGAACCAAAACTCAAACTGTGTCGCTAAACTCCAAATTAGCTGTAGAAACCCTAGCATGGAAGGTCTGCAATATGTGGTCCAATGTGGTAGCCACGAGCCACATGTGGCTACTGGCAGGCACTTAAAATACGGCTAATGTGCTGTAAGCGTACATAACAGTTGCAAAGACTTAGTACAAAAAGAAATGTATCTTATTAATAGTTTTTTATATTGATTACATGTTGAAGTGATATTTTGGATATATTGGGTTAAATAAAATATATTATTAAGATTAATTTCACTTGATTCTTTTTTAATGCAGCTTCTAGAAAATTTTAAATCACATATGTTGCTCACATTTTATTTCTTTTGGACAGGGCTGGTATAGAAGAGAGATTGGCAAACTAGGGCCCTCACTTCAAATCCAGCCTGCCACCTGTTTTTGTAAATAAAGTTTTATTGGAACACAGCCACACCCATTTATGTATCATATATTTCTATTTTTGTGGTACGACAGCAGCAGTGGGTGATGTGATAGAGACTATATGGCTCGAAAAGCCCACATTATTTACTCTCTCTTCGATAGGAAAAGCTTGCTGACTTCTGAACTATTAATACAATAGTATAATCTGCGCTTTAAAGCTACCAGAAAGAAAAAGCTTTTTATAAAGAGAGCTTTTTATAGCAGTGTTTTATAACTAAATTATATTGTTTCTTCCTCTGTAATTTTAATACACTACCTGATCTTCTACAGCTCTTATCTGTATTTTATGACTATAACCTAACTCACTGTTGCGTTATCTCTGATATTTAAAACCAATTTGTTTAAAATAACGCAAATTAAATAATAAATTAAAATGCCTCTGTAAAAAGTATCATTTTCTTCCTGACTGCCTTAACAGCGTCAGTGTTAGCCCTCCTGCTCCACACTTTCAGTGCTGTGACAATTTCTGATAACGTGGTCACACCACCTGCACATGTAACCATGGTGCAAGGTAACCACAGTAACTAGTCCACTCAACTGTGGTGACAATTGACTTGAATAATCCAGGATACAAAGAAAAGAGTCAGACACACCTCTTTCCGACGAATAGCATGTATGACTCAAGCCAAGTTTAAGGGTTGGGAGGAGGTTGTAGTTGGCTTTGGTGTAGAGCTGTTGCTTAAACTGGCAGAGCTCAGAAAAAGTCAGAACTCTTCTACATAGATTTCTTCCAAATCAATCAGCAAAGATGTAAAATGAGAACGTTTTTGGCCCTATAAATTCTTAGAGAACTTTCTGTTTTTAATTGGCGCCATACGATAGGCTTAC